AGAAGAAGTACGGCGGTCGTCGTCAGGCCACGACATATGCGTATCGTCACCATCAAGCGCGTCCCGACCACCCGGCTTTCTACTGTCTGGTTGTGAAGCCACAGTGGTACCAGGTGCTTCTCTCTGACCCGACTGGGGTAGTGGCGTCCGCTGAGACTCCCTGGGATCCCGATGACCTGCGCTTGCTAGCTGCCTACATCTACTCCCACTACGACCCTCCTCGCGGCCACTTCCTGTGGGACGACACGATTGCTTGGGTTCCCGGAGCGACTCTGGACCATCCGCCGACGTGGAAGGTCAAGGTTCAGGATCAGTGGTACACCCAGGGTCAGTTTATTTTCATAGGGGAGCCGTGGGGCCGTCGTACGACGATCCTCCGCGTCAAGGATGACAGCGGCGGGGAGATCGTGATCAAGGAGGTGTATCGTCATCACAAGCGTCGGTTCAAGGAGGAAAAGATCTTGGCCCGCATTCACGGTGATGGCGACGTGCTGGGGGTTGTGCGCCTTCAGGGTGCAGATCACGTCACGACCAACAACGAGACGATCAAGTGCACTGCGAAAGGTGAAGAGACGGAGCGAACGAAAGAGCGATTCGCACTGCTCGATTCCGGTTCCCGTCTTCTGGATGCCAAGACCGTGAACGAGCTATTGGAGGCGGTCTACGATGCGTTGGAAGGTACGCAAGTTTCTTGATGAATTGTATTCGTGGCGCTGACCTGTATCTGACAGTTCACCGCACGGTGCTGCTGGAGCGCGAGGTTCTGCACCGGGACATGAGCCTGTATAACATCCTGATGTACCCCAAGTGGGGTGGGGTGAGTGGGAGACATGTCTCTGAGAAGACGCCTGTGTCGATCCGGGATGTGCTCCTTGGAAGCAAGAGGTAAGCTGGTCCCACGCAGTGAGGAGTCGATCAGATTGATGAGGGTTGTGCAGGCCCGCGGAAGAACGGTTTCCTACATGCCTAGTCATCGACTACGACAATGCTGCTGAGCTGGACGCCAAGAGCGGCGGCGAACTGAATGATCGCACGGTATGTCTCGAGGGCTTGTTTCTTGCGTATTCGATGTGACATGATATACTCTTAGGGGACACCTCTGTTCATTGCACGAAGCGTCAGTCTTGGAACGGTCCTGCTCGACCATGTGTCAATTTGCGGCAAACCCATGCCAAGGCTCACCGGCGACGCTTTGTATCTATACACCACTGCTTACGGGCAGGAGCGCTACGATCGGTATAACGATGAGCCTGGATCCCCCAAATGCCACGGTGGCCTCCCTCCCTCCCTGGAGGTTGACGACTTCGACGACACACGAAAACCCCGCTTCTTTCACAGACCGGAGCACGACGTAGAGTCGGTGTACTGGACTATGGTATATGCTCTTCTTCGCGCTCAGCCAGCCGCTGCTCCCAGAGAACGCTATGCTTCCGAGTCGTCTGCTAACGTTTGGAACATTCTCCTCTCGCACCGTATCCCGGCCGAGCACTCTCGAAATGTGGAAAACCGTGGTAACATCATCAACGGGTTGAGGAGCGCATGGCTTGAGCTCTTCGATCCAACTATGCATGACGTCGCACTGCTCTTGTCGCAAATTTCGCAACATGTTCGTTCGGAGTACGCCTGGTGGACATGGGAAGGCAACTTCCAGCCTGACCACCTCCACGAAGCCGTACAGCGCCTCATCCTGCAATATCTGGTCAATCATCGCGACAATCCTATCAAGTTGGATCCGCGCAGACCTCGCCCTACCGCTTCCAGTTCGGCCGACCAGGGGAAGACCCGGACCCCAACTCAGTTTTCGCAGATGCAGGCTACCGGTGGGACAGGAACCCACACTAGAGGTCAGGTTGGATCGGGACGGGGTTCAGCTGCTAGCCGCAATCGGGGGCGTGGTAAGGGCTCAAGGTATGCCGCCAATCGCAAGGGCGGCGCGAAGACCACAGCTGCTGCTGGAGGACCGTCACAGCAATCTGTACATTCTCGTGAGCAAGCGACGACGAACGAGCCGGTTGCAAACTCGAAGCGCAAGAGCAGCAGCAAGCCATCTCGCAGCAGCAAGCGGCTCAAGACTCTCTCCGGCGAGCCCGTGCCATCCGTGGGGCAAGGCGACGACGACAACGTTGACGGATTGTAAGCTGCCGGAAAGCCTGCAACGGGTTACGCAGCTTGTCGCGCGTTCGTCTCATTCCCGCAACCCTCCGCGTTATAGCCGCAAGATGGACGATGCTGCTAGCATCCTCCTAAGTTCATTCTTCTTAAACATGCTGCCTCTGTCCTCCTTTCGCCCCTCCTCCTTCAAGCTGACGTTCTCCACGCTCATTTCTATCTCATTCTCATGCTATCCACATCACTCGTTTCACTGTTATAATTGCATCGTTTACCGGTCATGTCGTTCCCTACTGCTGTCATCTCGCTGTTATGTCATTGTACAATAATGCATGCATTATTCTCCGTTTGGTTGTGCTTCCAGGGTGTTCTGTTCGCGAAACAGTGATGCCAACCAACCAACTCCTGATGATAGCTATTCTAGTTTCTGAGATTTCGCTACAGAGTGGTGCAGCGTCCTAGGATATCCCCTTCTACATGTATGGTGCTGACCGCCTCTGTCACTGGCAGGATGTCCCCCTACTACGGCATCCTTGATAAAAAAAACCTGAACACGGAATCCAAAACCTGGTGCGCCACGTAGAACGATCAACGGGCCATTTTCACGTCGCTCCGACGCTCGAGATACAATCGCCTGGATGATGATCTCGAGCAAAGGTGGGGTATGTGGAGAGCGGGCCATCTTCCTGGGGTGGCAATGATCGTAGGTGTAAGTCAAAGACCACCACTCGGACGTTGCGGCGCCGCGGCGGTAGAGACTACAACGAGGTATGACAACCTCTGGGATATCGGGCCAGGGAGTATGAGACCTCCCTGTCCCGATATGCCGGAAGTTTGCGAACCTCGTTGTAGGCTACTTGTAGATCGTGTAGTATCGGTACGAGAAAGGTTCGTCTCATCTTCCGTATTCTGATCAACGTGACGCACGATGAGCGTCTATGATGCCTGTAGGGAAACTATGTAGCATCAATGTCGGGTTTAGGTTCTCCGACTCCGAAGCCCAAATGTTCGCGTAATGGTTCGGCAAATGCAACTGTCCTATTCGCGGTGGTTCAGGCAGTGGGTGAGAGAGATACGAAGGACGAAACGTAGGAGCGACAACTTACAGAAAATCGAGATGGTGCCTGGGGCTCATCAAATTTTCGAAGGAATATCGGAACATACTAGTGCCCGCCAAAAATGTCCAGCAGCCCACCGCGAGGGTCGAACTCGCAGCCTTCAGATCAGCCTCTGATTCTACAGCTCATAAGAGTCTGACGCTCTATCCGATTGAGCTAGGCGGGCGATGGTTGTGATGTGACATCTGTAAATATGTATCGAGACTCTGTGTCACGGTGGAATGAGTGGTCAACGCAGGAATCCAGAGCAACATATCGCAGGGTGCATAGAAGATACATCAGTATCGTACAAGAAACGCGCAGGTGCACGGTACTGGCCGACGCCATTACCCCTCATCGACTCCGGCTCGGCGACAGCGATGACATCCTCACGCCTTTTTCTTGCCCTCGGCGACGGACTGCGAATAGCGCTCCCGGCCTGCCGCCTGAAGCTCGCCGTCGACCTCTTCTTTGATGCCGAGCTCGACAGGGGTGACGGTTAGGTTGAACTCGAGCATCGTCAGCCCCATCCGGTGGCGCACGCGCGGCTCCCATCCGTCGGGCAGGCGTTCCTCCCGCAGGAACGGCCGGAGGTCCTCGATCCGCCCGCCGAAGATTGTCAGCAGCGTTGACGCGCTACGTGATCGTAGACGCGAGGCCGTTAGTCCGAGAATTCATACACCCTGCGCGGACTGAATCGAGGGAAGGGACGCACTTGGATGCACCGAAGATGCGGTGGATGAACGCGAGGCTGAACTTGGGGTTGTTCCTCTTCGCCTCGACGCGGCGCTGGCCGAGCAGGCGCGAGAGGTCCTTCTTGGTGAGGTTGCCGTTCTTGCCGGTGCCCGCAGCGAGAACGCGCTCGACGAGGCCGTGCGCGATCTTGCCCTGGTCCGGGTCCTCCGCTGCATCCACGCCTGCAAGCGGACAAAATACCGACGTCAGTCTCGTGAATGTATCTCGCGCACGCCATTCTGCGTTCATACATGCGCGCGAAGAAGGGTGATCCACAAAAAGGGAAGGGGTACGCACGCATGAGGGACGCATCATGCTCGATGCAATTGTGTGCATCGATGTCAGAGAGGTCGAACGAGTCCTTCCAGTAGCTGCGATTGAGCATGTTCGCCGCGTAGTTGGGCACGAAGAAGCAGAAGGTGGGCGCGAAGTTGTACGTCTCCTGTACCAGTCGCGAAAGGTCTCGGAACGTGATGTTCCGTCCAGATCGTGGTAGGATACCTGTTGGCATGCTCTTATCTCAGCATAGGGAACACGCGCGGAGAATTGAAGACCAAGTCCGCACCGTGGTTGGCCATCGCGTTGAGCGCGGGGCACGAACACCGGCTGTCGCCCTCTTGCGGGGGACTGTACTCCGGCCACTTGCCGCCGAAGCCCGGGTGGCCCTCTGGGATAAGGCGGCCGGCCTTGTGGTCGGGCGTGAGGAGGTTGAAGAGGAAGAGGAAGAAATCTATGGGGAAAAGAACGCCGTTAACGAGGATGCCTCCAAGTCCGGAGGCGAGTCCCGTCGATAGGCGTTTGAGCGCGACAATCGCCATCGCGAGGTCTCAATGGCAAGTGCAGAGTACTTGAGATATGGAAGGGGCCCTGGAAGAGGAAGGAGACGAGTGGAGAAGTAAGTGAGAGGAAGTAAGAGAGGGCTACCGTTCAGCGAGAGAAGTGCATCGTTCGATAAACTTCGTGCAGGATGGCAATCATATAGGCGTCCTATGTCCATCAATACACGGAAGTTCGCGTGGCAGGATGCATGGAAGACCGCCATCTGAGAAGACAAATGCCACCCCGTGGTGGCTCATTCTGCCACGCACGCCCATTTGGACGCGCTATGATACCGAAAAGGGATAGAGTTCATTGCTGGCGACTCGGAAGAATGCACGAAGGCCGGTAGTGCCTGTATCGCCGGTCGGATGGCTTCCCGAATCTCATGTATGTACGGTTGCTTGAATGGCTGCAAACATGGCAGCATCAGTCGGACAAACTTTGAGGTCATCGCAGCTCGCTGGAGGCTCAGGCGCCTCCGGGCCGCGGCCGGACCCGGGACGATGGATCCGTTGATCGTTCTATGCGGCGCTCGCTCCAGGGTGTTCAAGTCTGTTCCTAGGAGGCCGCACCACTCCATAGAGAAATCTCAGATACTACCAGGATAGCTACCATCGAGAGTTGGTCAGCATCACTGTTTCGCGAATAGAACACCCTGGAAGCACAACCAAACGGAGAATAATGCATGCATTATTGTACAATGACATAACAGCGAGATGACAGCAGTAGGGAACGACATGACAGGCAAACGATGCAAATATAACAGTGAAACGAGTGATGTGGACAGCATGAGAACGAGATAGAAATGAGCGTGGAGAATGTCAGCTTGAAGGAGGAGGGGCGAAAGAAGACAGAGGCAGCCAAAAAGAATGACCTTGAGAGGATGCTAGCAGCATCGCTCATCTTGCGGCTGAAGCGCAGAAGGTGGCGGGAATGAGACGAACGCGCGACAAGCTGCGTGACCCGTTGCAGGCTTTCCGGCAGCTTACAATCCGTCAACGTTGTCGTCGCCTTGCCCCGCGGGTGGCACGGGCTCGCCGGAGAGAGCCTTGAGCCGCTTGCTGCTGCGAGATGGCTTGCTGCTGCTCTTGCGCTTCGAGTTTCCAACCGGCTTGTTCGCTGTCGCTTGCTCACGAGAATGTACAGATTGTTGTGACGGTTCTCCAGCAGCAGCAGTAGTCTTCGCGCTGCCCTTGCGATTGGCGGCATACCTTGAGCCCTTACCACGCCCCCGATTGCGGCTAGCAGCTGAACCCCGTCCCGATCCAACCTGACCTCTAGTGTGGTTTCCTGTCCCACCGGTAGCCTGCGTTCGGGAAAGCTGTGTTGCGGTCCGAGTGTCACCCTTGTCGGCGGTAGGGCGTCTATGGCGCGGGTCCAACTTGATGTCTTTGCCACGATGTTCGACCAGATATTGCAGGATGAGGCGCTGTACAGCTTCGTGAAGGTGGTCGGGCCGGAGGGCGCCTTCCCAAAGGGCATACTCCGAACGAACGTGCTGAGAAATCTCCCACAAGAGCACGCCGACGTCCTGCATGTCTGCACAGAAAAGCTCCAACCATTCCTCCTCCGGTGAATAGATTATTTTATCGCGGTTTTCGACCTTGCGAGAGGACTGCTGGGGCGGGATGTGATGGGCAAGGAGAATTTGCCACACAATGGCAACAGCGGGTGGTGCATAATCTTCTTTTGGAGCTGTGATTGGTTGAGCACGGAGTAGAGCGTACACCATAGTCCAGTACACCGATTCTACGTCGTGTTCCGGTCGATGAACGAAGGCGGGCAAGTTTGCTGATCTATGACGGTCTGGGTCCAGTGTCATGGGAGGACGACCGCCGTGCCATGTGCCAGCTGCAGGCTGGTCGTTATACCCGTCGTAACGCTCTTCTCCATAAACGGCGGTGTACAACTGCAATGCGTCGCCGGTGAGCCTTGGCATGGGTCTGCCGCGAATTGACACATGGTCGAGCAGGACCGTTCCAAGACTGACGCTTCGTGCAATAAATAAAGGCGTGCCCTGAAGTATATCATGTCACATCGAATACGCAAGAAACAGACGGTCGAGACATACCGTGCGATCATTCAGTTCGCCGCCGCTCTTGGCGTCCAGCTCAGCAGCATTGTCGTAGTCGATGACTAGGCATGTAGGAAACCGTTCTTCCGCCGGCCTGCACAACCCTCATCAATCTGATCGACTCCTCACTGCGTGGGACCAGCTTACCTCTTGCTTCCAAGGAGCACATCCCGGATCGACACAGGCGTCTTCTCAGAGACATGTCTCCCACTCACCCCACCCCACTTGGGGTACATCAGGATGTTATACAGGCTCATGTCCCGGTGCAGAACCTTGCGCTCCAGCAGCACCGTGCGGTGAACTGTCAGATACAGGTCAGCGCCACGAATACAGCTCATCAAGAAACTTGCGTACCTTCCAATGCATCGTATACCGCCTCCAATAGCTCGTTCACGGTCTTGGCATCCAGAAGACGGCAGCCAGAATCGAGCAGTGCGAATCGCTCTTTCGTTCGCTCCGTCTCTTCACCTCGCGCAGCGCACTTGATCGTCTCGTTGTTGGTCGTGACGTGATCTGCACCCTGAAGACGCACGACCCCCAGCACGTCGCCATCACCGTGAATGCCGGCCAAGATCTTTTCCTCCTTGAACCGACGCTTGTGATGACGATACACCTCCTTGATCACGATCTCCCCGCCGCTGTCATCCTTGACGCGGAGGATCGTCGTACGACGGCCCCACGGCTCCCCTATGAAAATAAACTGACCCTGGGTGTACCACTGATCCTGAACCTTGACCTTCCACGTCGGCGGATGGTCCAGAGTCGCTCCGGGGACCCAAGCAATCGTGTCGTCCCACAGGAAGTGGCCGCGAGGAGGGTCGTAGTGGGAGTAGATGTAGGCAGCTAGCAAGCGCAGGTCATCGGGATCCCAGGGAGTCTCAGCGGACGCCACTACCCCAGTCGGGTCAGAGAGAAGCACCTGGTACCACTGTGGCTTCACAACCAGACAGTAGAAAGCCGGGTGGTCGGGACGCGCTTGATGGTGACGATACGCATATGTCGTGGCCTGACGACGACC